GTGTGGGGCTGTTTGAGAGTAACATTGGAATGCCAGATAAAGGAGCTTAAAGTCGATTCGTTGTTTTACTGGAAGCCAGTGGAGTTCTTGGAGGATGGTTGTGATGTGGTTCGAAATGGGTGACAGAGAGACAAGGCGAGCAGCGTTATTTTGAATCCTCTGGACCTTAAGTCTATGTTATGGTCACCTTAGCGCTAAGATCGCTTTGTACAACGGAACCCAGGACATTAAACATTCTACATGATTTGTGTCCGGATCTTTTCTGACCTGTGAAGGTCCGGGCTAGAATGAACCTTCAGTAACCCATGCTTGTCGTAAGAGGCGACTAACGGGATCGGGTGCTCAGGCTCGCTGGCACAGGTCGATGCTCATACTGTTGATCACTGGATTGTCTGGTTCAGACTCGATTATATACAGGCCGCCGCCATAAAGTTGGAATATTGCTGAGTGCGTTGTACAACTCAACTCAGTCACTCACTCACCCGGATCTTTTCTTTCCATAAGCAAATGTATCCATGCCAACGATACCGACGGTGTTTCAACCGAAATGTTAGTACTGCTCTCATTACAGCGTCGGGGTATATTTACACCCCAAACATTTAACAGAATCGGGGTCGCAAGAAGGAAAACAACATAATCCGAGTGCAATTTCAAAGCAAGGAAACGTCACATGTAGATTTGAATTTAGCGAGATCTGTCTTTAGCGCGGTTGTTGAGCGAGGATGTACTTTAACTTTAACACAAAAAGAATACAGGTTAATAGGACACATAGGTTCATTCGCTATAACCTACGTCATCCGTATTGTGATTGTGAAGATAATAGTGCTCAGTGGTGTTACACGTATTGTTTTCTTGGTCATTGGAATGTTTATGTTTGATTTTTTTTGGAGAAAGTAAGATGTACGCATAAATCTTCAGTACATCACAAACAGGTCTTAATGGAGTGAGTGAGTGAGTGAGCTTAGTTTTACGCCGCACTCAGCAATATTCCAGCTATATGGCGACGGTCTGTAAATAATCGAGTCTGGACCAGACAATCCAGTGATCAACAGCACGAGCATCGATCTGCGCAATTGGGAACCGATGACATGTGTCAACCAAGTCAGCGAAACTGACCACCCGATCCCGTTAGTCGCCTCTTACGACAAGATAGTCGCCTTTTTATGGCATCTTAATGGATGTTAATGAAATAAACAAAAGCATTGCGAAATGATGCGTCTATGTCTCATGAAGTATCAGGATAACAATCTACTCTGCTGGTCGCCCATGAAGTATCACCTGAACATTACCCGTCCATGGTAAACAATATGCGACACGACATGGATCAATTTGCACTGAAATAAACATGTCAACTATACCCCCAAAACCTACGTATACACGCGAGGCTTCCCATGCGATTCAAACAGTGCTCGGAAAAGTACACTTTACTTCAGACTTGTATGTGTGGGTTAGAATTGAGTGAGTGAGTGAGTTAAAATTTAAAGTCACTTTGGCAATGTTTCAGCCATATCGTGACTAAAACAACATATATATTAACAATAATTAAAGATAGAGTATAAAATCCTGTCAACGAAGGACAATAAACAACAACTAGAATATCACAGATATAAATATAAAACTAGTAATTAAATCGAAATCATATTAACTTTAGAGAACAACACAATATAAAAATAGGCTATAACTCACCAGCAGCTGAAGGTAGTTCACCATACTAGGGGTTAGAATTGAGTCTACAGACCATGAAGCCTTGAAAGTGTTATGACTGCATTTCAGTTTTTGAGTGACATTAATGAGCACAATACATATATCTGGACAGAGTGTTAAAGATGATCGTGTGGACCTAAAAGCATTATTTTTGTATTGTGTTGGTATGGTTGCAGGTATTTGTAACATATGTCGAATCATTTGAGTCACGGTTGGTTGGTTTGTTGATTAACGCCGCGTCCAGCAATATTCTCAGTTTATGACGGCGGTCTGTAAATAATCGGGTATAGACCTGAAAATCCAGTGATCAATATCATGAGCATCGATCTACGCAATAGGGATATGATGACATGTGTCAACCAAATCAGCGGGCCTGACTACCCGATCCCTTTAGTCGCCTCTTACGATAAGCGTGGGTTGGTGAAGATCAATTCTAACAAGGGAATGTAGATGAACACCAATTCAATATTAACAAGAGAAACACAAATTACTTTGTTCATGTTTCTTATGTGGCTATGAACGCATTAACACAGTACTTTTACTGATTGAAATAAAATAAAGTAGCACCTATAGATCAAATGGTTGCACTGGCCCATCTCATGTTTTTCATTTCATATCAATGTATTGTGATAGATATAGACCCAATGTGCGATGAAGATGAAATGTACATGGTGCAAATGGGAAGTCACAATATTCAAAGGACAATTACGATTATATAAATACACGTTTATGTTCAGAATGTATGTTTGTTCAGAGAATGTGTTAGATGACCACCGCGCCCAAATTGTGCAAAATGTTTGAGTGATCAAGTACATATTGCTATAGGCTGCATAATCAATTTTACAGCTATTTTCAGCTAGCAAAATATTTGAGATCTAGCAGTGTATGAAATACGCCAAAAACCAAGCCAAACATCAGGGCTGGTAACCTCAAAATGTTACCAGCCCAAAATGGATTTAACCAGACCAGAATTTGGCAGACAACGCGATATGTATGGAACATCTAAAAGTTTTACCAGACTATCGGACTGGCTAGCTGTAAATCTAGACCGTTCGTCAGATATCTCGCCCGTCTCGGGCCTTATTTCATACATTAGATCTAGTGGTAAGATTTGCATTATCACAAAGACACTAACATAGGTAAGTGGTACTCGAATAGCTGCCTCTGAATGGTTATGTTTGATCACTTTGGAGACAGTAAAATGTAGCAGTTTTTCTTCAGCACATCTCAAACAAGTCGAGAATGATGTTAATGAAATATAAAGAAACATTGCAAATTGATGTATCTATGACCCATGAAGTATCGGGATAACAATCTAGTCTGTTAATCGTCCATGAAGGATCACCTGAACATTACCGGGGCAAGGTAAACGATATGTGGATATTTTATCATGCTAACACGACAGGGATCAATGTGCACGGAAACGAGCATGTAAACTATACGTCCCAAAGCGCCACGTGTGGCTTCTCGTCAGCGATATGCTGATGTGTACTTTACGCACTTTATAACCTATATGTACTCATACTCTTTGGGGAAGAAACATACACGTTGCTTAAGGTTTTACAAAACCGCTTATAATGGCATACAAAATGACAAATATTAATTATATGTCTGTGCTGGTTCTAATAGAAATCCAAGACCTAACCAGATTATTAAAGGGTTAGTTTCTGATAAATTGTATACTTTGAATAATACTATTCGCGTTTCTATACGTTTTTCTGTAATGTCCACGATGACAAGCTGGCTCAGAAGTACAGGTGATTGATAATATACTCTTTAAAAAAAGTAGGGGAACCTTAACTGTATTTCCTGAACCTGGATGGGAAGTATACTAAGCAGCAAAAGAAACGTCAGTTTGGAAGTTTCCTTCGCAGAAACGGATAACTGTAAACTCATTTATGTTTCGATTGTATATTTTTGACAACATCTCCAACTTACCTGAGCAAAGACATTTCTTCCCAAACTCAGAATGGAACCCAGGAAATGGTCTCAAAAACGCAATCTGATCTCGGAGATGGTACGTTGTTCTCCATGTTTTTCATGTAACTCATGCTGCACGTGCTGTTCACAAGGTCCAGCCCTATAAAATGCACCTCCAAACCTGGTTGAAACATTCACATTACAACGACAGCAGGATGCCGCGACTCACGACAGCTCAGAGGAACCAGGCGCTAGAAAGACATGAAGCTGGCCACACTGCACCAGCTGTTGCCAATCACTTCCAGGTCAACGTTCGGACCATCTACAGGCTGCAGCAATGTCTCCGGGCCACCAACACCATAAATGATTGCCCCTGTACCGCCAGACCAAGGATGACCACGGGACGACAAGACCGCCATGTTGTGCGACAGCATGTACAGAATCCCTTCATGCAGGCATCCGAAAAAGCACGCCAGACAGTGGGAACACACAGAAGACCAATCAGTAATGATACAGTACGCCGACGTCTTAACAGCGGGAACCTCCATTGCCGTAGACCTTACCATGGACATATCCCCAACCCTCGTCATCGGCGTGAACGTCTACAGTTTGCCCTACAACACCAAAACTGGCGATACAGGCAATGGAGAATTGTTCTGTTCACAGATGAGAGTCGGTACTGCGTATCAACTGCAGATGGCAGAACAAGAATATGGCGACGACGCGGCCAGCATTACTCAGACCAATGTGGTTTGAAAAGAGACTCATGGGGAGGTGCAAGCATCATGGTATGGGGTGGAATGGGCCTGAATCAGAGAGTTGGTCCTGTGATGTTCCAGAACCTTGGTCCAGGGAGAGGAGGCGGCATCACAGCGGTGGGCTACATCGACCAAGCTCTCAGACCCCAAATCATAGCACATTTCGCATGTCACCGGAACAACATTTTCCAGCATGATAACGTCCGGGTCCATAATGCCAGAGCTACACGGGACTTCCTACAGCAGAACGGTGTCAACATTATGCAGTGGCCAGCCCTTAGTCCTGATTTAAACCCAATTGAGCTTCTTTGGTATGGAATTCAGAGGGGACTGAATAATGTCATACCAAAGCCGAACAGAGCCGATTTATTGCGCCAGGTCTTTCTCAGAGTGTGGTTCCAAGTGCCAATGGCCTTCATCAATCGATTGGTGCACTCCATGCATAGACGCTGTGCTCGTGGTGGTCACACTAGATACTGAAGTCAAGAGTCTGAATGGACTGCAAGCGTTCACGTAATGTCTTGGCATAGTCGTTCTGCCTTTTTGGTTGTTGTTAGCGGCATTTTAACCGGAACTCGCCATTTTACCGGACAAGCGCCATTAGCAACATGGCTGTCGTTCTGATTTGCGGAATTTGAACACGTCAAGCAGTCGAAATTTGTCATACCTTTCCCTAAGCCTAAGACGAATTTAGAAAAATGTAAAAAGTGGATTTCTCTTTGCGGACGGAAAAAAATTACCATTGAAAAAGTCAGGAAAGAGACTTATATTTGCAGCATGCACTTCGTCGGAGGGAACGGACCAACTGACGGTAATGATTAAAATATACTTTCAAATATCGTATTTGAATTTTCACATAAAATCGATTTAATTCACGACATGCTCATTTTTAAATGACCTTTTTGTTTATTGACAGAATATCCTGATCCCTTGTCAGCCTTGTCACAAAATGTCCTACCACCGAAGGCACGAAATCCTAGGAAGAGACTGAGGCTTCAACCAGTAAATCATTATATTTGCTCTTCAAAAACGTTCTCATCAAGATTTCTTATAAAACAATCACTGATTATCTTTTACTCATTTAATTATCACACTGTCAATCACTAAAGTGCTGTAGCTATTTTAAAATGGAAATTGTTTTCCTATATGCTGCTAGGTTCACCTACTCATTTAATTTTTGTGGAACAGTAATGTATTGCCTGAATATTCCATTTTGACAATTGTCCAGAAATGAAAACTAGTAGAGGCCTAAATGATTTGAATTTATGCTCACTGCATTAAAAAGGACCCACTGCATGATCTCCAAGTGAATTTGCCTTCCCCTGAGGAACACGATGTACAGGTTCAGGAGATGTTGTCAACACCACTATTGGACTGCTTTCATGACTACTTTGGAGTTTTCAGTGATGATCATCAAGGTAAGTAGTCAAAGTAAGTTGTCCTGATAAATCACAAAGCTAATTATCATTCTTTCATCAAGCAAAATATTTGATATTGGTCCAAATGTAATATTAAACTGAACAAATTAAAACGGAATTTGGTGATCGTGTAGGTCTAATAAGTGATACACGTCTGCAATTTTCCTTGTTTGGAAAACCAAGCTGCACTGATGAGCGCTGGCGGGACGAAACGTGTTAAAAAAACAAATGCAGTTTGAAGTAACTGATTTAGTTTAACATTGATAAGGTATTGATATTAAGCATTACAATCTCACTCGATACAGATGCAAGCATCACAGCGGATGCATGCACACAGACAGAAATTAACATGGTTCATATTTTCAAGTTTTTCTTGTTACTCTAAATGGTGATTATTAATTTTTAAACTTTTTTAAAACTTTAACCAATATTTTTTAGACCTTTGACATGGTAACAAAAAATCAACATGGTCATTGGTTAATGGTAATTTATATCAATGCTCCTATAAATAATCATTATAAATAAGAGAATAAATTATACTATCTACACAGGTCTGACGACATCTCTATTTGCCATCATTCTGAATCTGCTGATGACGAAAGCCAAGAAACTGAACTACTGGCGTGGATCTGACTCTGCTGGCTTAACAGTAATTATATTAAAAGTCCAATAGCTACAATTTCATCAATGTAAGGATGATGATGTTCATCACAGTGAAGGTTATAGTAAGAAAGAAGCTTATAAGGTAGACCAACTTTTAAAAGTAGAGCCATAAAAATATATATCTAACAAGGTAAAATGAATCATTTGGAGACAATTTATTTTGGGGGAAGGTTATTGAGTTTTAGACACGTTCTATGAATGATGTAATAACTGTTTCAGGACCATGCTCAAACACCTGGGAGGATAGGTCGTCCTCGGGCCTTGACCCTTACAGGCTCAGACGGGGATTTGACTCAGAAGTTTAAGCCTATCTATTTCAAATTAACAACTCTTCTGTCAGTTGAATTTTCACCACTTGGATTTCTTTTATGTACCACGAACTTCAATTCCTAGTATCTTTGCCAACTCGGTATCAAGTAAATTCACGCTTACCTAGGTGCTTCAAATGTTTTCTTAAGACCAGATCTAGAGTAATTATTGACTGCACAGAATTTTTCATTCAAAACCCAAGTCTAGCTTCATCTCAGAGAGTCACATGGTCCCAATACAAGCACCACAACACTGTAAAATTATTGGTTGCTATATCCCCCTCTGGTACTTTTGTGTTCCTCTCAAATCTGTATACAGGTTCAATATCAGAGAGGAAGATTGTTCAGCAGACAAACTTGAGTACGGAGATGACATCATGGCTGACCGAGGGTTTTTTAATACGTGATTTACTTACTAAAAGAATGTGCACTCTCAATATACCACCATTTTCTATGGGTAAGCAGTTGAAATCAAAATGTTTTGGATCAAATGCAATTTGTATGTGCAACCTCGACAAGAAACTTGTGAAGTAATGTTAACAAGCATTAAAAGAAACAGATGCCCCACCAGTAACATTTCAGCAGATTATGTTTATGTAAAACTGCATCATCTTTTTCTCTCTGTATTTGTCTTCATGTTTTTATTCCCAGAATTATGTTTACAGACTTTACCTCAGTAGTACAGTACAGTACAGGTATTTTCATAGAACACAAGTACAGTGTTTCCTGGCTCACATTGTCAGATATCATGCTGTTCCCAAATGGTCAAACTAAGCATGTATATGAAGTGTTACATGTTTACAGACTTTACCTCAGTAGTACATTACAGTACAGTACAGCTTCATAGTACACAGGCACCCGTGAAGAGCCACCTCCTCGTGGTGGGTGCTGGGTCACGCTAAGCGCTATTCGACCCCCCGTTGTGGACCCGGGGGTATATTTGGTCCATCAACCCGTTTGCCATGGGTTGCGCCCCTGTGTCGTTGGAGGAAGGGAGTCTGGTGGTTGAGGGCATAGGAGCCAGGAACAGTTTTCCTATTGCCCAACACACCACTTCGGCCCTGACTTCACCTAGACGGGTGGTTGAATGGGCCCGGTTCAACCAATCGGCTGGTCATGCCAAGCCCTGTGTGTTTGAAATTGTACTGAATATATCTTTAAATACTTCATTAACGTTTCAAAGAACTGTCTTGGCATTAATTTCTTTCACAATTACTATTTTGCAAAATGTTCAATATAGATTTATTATTTTGCCTTGAGTCTTCAATGCCCAGAAGGCACCCATGAAGGGCCACCTCCTCGTGGTGGGTGCTGGGTCACGCTAAGCGCCCTTCAACCCCCCGTTGTGGACCCGGGGGGGATATTTTGGTCCACCAACCTGTTGGCCGTGGGTTGCGCCCCTGTGTCGGTGGAGGAAGGGATTCTGGTGGTTGAGGGCACTGGTTCCAGGAACAGTGTTCCTTTGCCCAACACACCACTTCGGCCCTAACTTCACCTAGACGGGTGGTAGAATAGGCCCGGTTCTACCAATCGGCCGGTCATGTCGAGCCCTGTGCATTAAATTGTATCTGCACAAAAATTATATTATGTACTACGTTCTTGACTTTAGGTCTTGACTCATTTCGTTTATAAAATATCAGTTGATTTTGAAATATGTACAATTTATATTGCCTAGAGTCTTATGCCCAGAAGGCGATGGCTCATGGGCCAATCTGGTAGATTGATTACTTGTTTAATCTTTCTGCTTGAGTATATCATCCGGGTATCCTTGGTGCTGCAAGTCGGAGATCCACTTGTATATAGCATTGTCCTTGTGATACTCCGTGGTGGGTGGGGAGCTCGGATGATGAATCTTAAAACACTAACCATGGCTTATGAAACCCCTACCAAAAACAAAACGTCCTCTTGAAAATGATTCTGATGATGATGACCTTAGACCGTCCAAATCAATTGACTTTTGGCCACGCTTTCTTGTGATCGAAACTCTCGACAAAACACCATTAAAGTTGAACCCTTTCGCGGTTTCCAAGGGTATTCAAGGTATTGCCGGCGAAGTTAAGAACATTAAACGGTTACGTTCAGGTGCGTTACTGGTTGAGTGCGGGAAACGGCATCAATCAGCCAATCTGTTGACCACTGAATCGTTTGTCGGCATTCCGGTCGTTGTATCTGCTCACAGGACATTAAACACAAGCAAAGGTATCATCAGAGATCGTGATCGGTTGTTTTCTGACATGTCAGAACTTGACATCGTTTCTGAAATGAAAGATCAAGGTGTACTCTACGTAAAACGCTTTTCAATCCGTAAAACAATGAAACTGTTCAGACAAATACTTATCTGTTTTCCTTTTCGTCACCCACAGCTCCCAAATCACTGAAAGCAGGTTATTGCAATATCAATGTTGACACCTACATTCCTAATCCGCTGAGATGCTTTAAATGCCAGAAGTATGGACATGGTGTAAATACTTGTACATTGTCTGTTGTGTGTGCTCACTGTGGTGAGAAGACACACACAACTGAAGATTGTACAAGTACCTTTAAAAAAATGCACTAACTGTTCAGGAGAACATTCATCTTTCTCAAAAGTGTGTCCGATTTGGAAAGAGCATTTGCAGATCAACAAGATCAAGTTCACCCAGAACATCAGTTTTTCTGATGCCAAAAAAACTTGTAAAGATCTCTGAACTTACAGAAAGTTATGCTTCAATAACCAAAACACCAACTGAATCAAGCCCTAAAGTATCTACATCATCGACAAGCTGTCAAACAAACTTGACTTGGGTCAAAAGTGACAGTCCACAGTGTTTATATCCTGCTATATCATCTCAAACCACGGAATCACTTCCTAGTACATCTGAAAGGCAGGCAGAGTCATCTTCAGATCACAAGTCACTCACTCAGTCACGATCACAATCTCAATCGTCATCTGATACTCAGCAAACTGCTAAAAGCAAACATAAACAGAAGCTTGATGCTTTCAAAAAAACAAAGTGGCAGAGCCCCAAAAGGGTCGGAAAATAGAATTCAGTTATATAACAAATACGGATCACTTGAGGACATGGACGTGTCCGAAAACGTCCATTCTAGGGCACATAGCTTGTCGCCCTCGAAAACAGTGCGGGGGTAGATCCCCAATTAATCCGCCTAAAAGATAGGTTTATCTACCAATATCGTGCAGTGGAACTGTAGAGGACTCCGGACAAATTTTAATGAAATACAGCTAATTGTCCAAGATTTAACACCATCAGCGTTCTGTCTGCAGGAGACATATCTGAAACAAACAGATCATTTTAACCTACGCCACTTTGAAGACTATAATTATTTTTCCCCTCCAGGTGATAGAGCCACTGGAGGTTCTACTATCCTTATACGACAGAATGTTATTCACAGCCCTGTTACTCTTAATACTACTCTCCAAGCTGTTGCAGTGCGACTTACTCTGGGTGTAGCATTTACATTGTGCTCTCTGTATATTCCGCCTTCATCGAACCTTCAGCTGACTGATCTTCAATCACTCTAGGATCAACTCCCAAAGCCATGTGTTATTATGGGTGACCTAAACGGTCACAACCAACTCTGGGGCAGTACTAACACTAATACTAAAGGCAAAATAATTGAAGATTTCATTTCCAATAATGACCTGTGCATATTTAATGATGATTCAAGCACCTATCTGCATCCTGCAACTGGCACTTATTCTTCTCTAGATTTGTCTCTTGCAGATTCTACCCTCCTGAATGAATTTGATTGGTCTGTTCATAATGACCTTTGTGGAAGTGACCACTTCCCAACTATACTTTCAGAAATAACTCCATCTGATTCTCCATCGTATACAAGATGGAACTTTTCGAAGGCGAACTGGTCTTTATATCAAACTTTATGTAAATCTAATTGCGACCTGAATGTTTCAGTGATATAACTGATCCCATTCAGATTTTTGCTGACGTTTTAAATGAAATAGCTGACGAGTGTATACCGAAATCCTCTACAACTCCACATGTACGGAAACCATGGTTTAATACAGACTGTAGACAAGCCAGAAAGGCGAGGAAGAAGGCAGAACATTATTTCCGCCACCATCCAACGGTCCATAATTTAAATAAATTCAAAATACTCAATGCAAAGGCACGTCGTACCTTCAAACAAAACAAACGACAATCTTGGAGGAAATATGTCTCCAATATTAATTCACGCACGCCAATGTCTAAGGTGTGGAATATGGTTCAGAAAATAAAAGGCAAAGGTTCCAAATCTGCTGTTCATCATCTTAAAGATGGTGACAATTTAATAACTGACAAATGCAACATTGCAAATAAAATTGGCGAAACTCTTGCCAAAAATTCATCATCGGCAAATTATGTCCCTGAGTTTCAGAGATATCAGAAACAACAGGAAAAGACGAAACTTAATTTTGACTCCCATAACGGTGAAGATTATAATGAAGTGTTTTCATTACATGAGCTACATACTGCTCTTGAGCAAGCCCATGACACTGCAGCGGGTGATGACAATATACATTACCAGCTACTGAAACACTTACCGGAACCGTGTCTGATGACACTTTTATATATCTTTGACAAAATATGGACGTCTGGAGAATTTCCTCCTTCATGGCGTAATGCCATTGTAGTCCCAATACCAAAACCTGGCAAGGATCATACTAATCCGTCTAATTACAGGCAGATCTCTCTAACTAGCTGTGTTTGTAAAACCATGGAACGTATGGTGAATAATAGATTAACTTGGTATCTTGAAACCAATCACCTTATAACCAATATTCAATGTGGTTTCAGGAAAAATCGTAGTACCATTGATCATTTCGTACGTTTAGAATCCTTTGTTAAGAATGCTATAGTAAATAAACAACATGCTGTCTCAATTTTCTTTGATCTTGAGAAAGCTTATGATACGACCTGGAAGCATGGCATTTTGAAGGATTTACATGACTTTGGTTTGAGAGGCCGTTTGCCTCTTTTTATATCACGGTTTTTAAAAGACAGACAATTTCAAGTCCGAGTGGGTTCTACCCTGTCTGATCATTACAATCAGGATCAGGGTGTCCCTCAAGGCAACTGGCCTCTTGGCAACTGGTGAGGCCTGAAGTTGACCTAACTCTGACAAAGTTTAAGAAATCTGAAACTAATGAATTGCAATACAAACAAGAATTGAATAATAGATATAATACATACAAATCCTTATTTACAGATGGGTCCAAGGACGGTGGCGCAGTGGCATGTGCCAATGTCATTGGTTCCCGAACAATATCTTCTCGACTACCAAATAACAGCTCTATTTTCACAGCAGAGGCTAAGGCCATATTAACAGCTCTTCAATATATTAATAAACACTGGAAATATAAAGAACACATAATATTTTCCGATTCTCTTTCGTGTCTTCAGGCTATTTAAAATCTTTCTTGCAAACATCCACTTTTATTAGAAATTATTGAATTGTATAATGAGCTTGCTACTGGCCAATGCGACATCGTCTTTTGTTGGTTACCAAGCCACGTTGGCATTTCTGGGAATACAATGGCCGATCTTGCTGCAAAGGCAGCACTCAACAAATCTGTGACACCACTTCTTATTCCTTACTCTGATTACAAAGCTAGCATTAGAACTTACATCGGCGATATGATGCAGAATAAGTGGGACGCCCAAGTAGGTATTTATAAATTACATGAAATAAAACCCTATATTGGTTACACCTACTTGGGTTGTCAGTCCAGATTTGAAGAGGTCATCATGCGACGATGTCGTATTGGCCATACAAGGTATACTCATGAGTACCTATTAAAAGGTGAGGATCCTCCGTTTTGTATTCCTTGTGATGAAAAAATCACGGTCAAGCATGTCTTGCTTTATTGCATTGAATATTCCATCACAAGGGATAACTATTTCAAAGTAAACACTATGAAGGATCTTTTTAATAATGTTAGTTCTCATTTAATTATTGCTTTTTTAAAAGAATTAGATTTGTTAAGTGATTTGTAAATAGATATATATTTTATTATTGGCCGTTTGAATTAGTAACTGAGATTGTTAGTAGTTGTACCCTCAAAGAGGGTTGAAGTAGCATAAAATTATTGTCCTCCTGAGAGGGTTCGGAAGTCCCAAAACATTCAAAGTAAATTTCAACTTTCCGGTTTTTAATCGTAGAATATGTGTGATTTTAATGTATTGCTAGATATATCTCAATTGCTAACAGCTGAGGGGATGTTGTAAATCCAGCTAGGGCCATGTAGGAAGCAATTGTACTGTACGTCCCCATGGTCCCTAGTATGGTGATCTACCTTCAGTTGTTGGCGATCTATAGCCCGTATTTTATATTGTATTGTCTTCTTTAATTGAAATATTTTAACTTTGCGCTAGTTTCATATTTCTAACTGTGATTCTCTAGTCTTTTTACCGTACATCGTCGACAGGTTTTAATTTTCAAAATGTTTCTACTTTTTATTGTATTGCTTGCTTTTGTCACGATATGGCTGCAATACTGCCGATGTGACGTTAAATATTAACTCACTCACTCACTCATAGTACACAAGTACAGTGTTTCATTGATTACATTGTCAAACATCACGCATCACCTTATGTCAAAGTTATGTAAGCTGTGTAAACAGATACTGTAAGACTTGTTTCTTATAAAACAGGTTCAGCTTGTTAATCATTTGGCTAAAAAATGTTTCATCAAATTCAGTTTTGACCACAGCAATGCCTTGGTAAGTCAAAATCACCAATTCACCACACTTCAAACCATACAGACCAAGCTGGCCCTGAATCTGATGATAATATTGACAGTCTTTGGTCATCACCCACTCCTCACTGTTAGCAACCTGGTGACAATGTTTTTATCGTGGCAACCTCTTTAGGATGTTTACTCCTCAGTGAGTATGGACACTTTATTTCCAGTACTCTGTCAGCATGGCATTTACATGTAACAACACCATCAACACTGCATCCTAAAGCAGGATATGATGAGTTTATGAACAGTCCATGTTCATGAACCTTAAGAGACTTGTGGCTGGAGCGTACAAGTCGAGTATACATGTGTCGAGCAACTGGCGCCTTCTTTCTTCCCCACATAAGTGGTTCACAATTATCTTTAGCTTCACTTCTGTCCTCACACATGATAGATTTCATGAATGGGAACATGCTTGTTTGAAGTTGGAAGCAGTTAACCTTCCAGCTCTTTGTTCAAACCATGTATCGTTAATAGACTGCCCAACAGTGTACATAGCAATATCCTTGCATTCCTGTTCAGAGTAAGTGAGTTTACTGTAAAAGTCATCACAGATAGTTTCAAGTTCATCCAAGGACTCACAGTTAACTAATTTATTCTTGTGATCTGATGCATAACACTGTGATTTTGATGGAATGGATAAATCTGTGATGGACTTCTGATCACTGGTCTTCATAGATATGAGATCTTCTGGACAGAGAAGTATATCTAGAGCCTGAACATCTGGGGATAACTCTAACAGAGGAAATCAATCAAACCATAAGTCATTGTGTACATCAGATTACTAGTCAGTGTATAAAATGAGCTAGAAACGTAGCCAACTTTTACCAAGTATTGGGTTGGCAATTGGGTGTCTATTTCCCACACTGTTGTAATCTAAGTGACACCTAAATGTTACGTTGATCAATAAATTTGTCTATTATTTTGTGACATCTCATGTTATGTATTATTTCTTAATAAGATTAAATAAAGAATGCATAAACTCTGAATTATGAACACACCTTGCTCAGTTGTAGACCAAAGTCTCGCTTCTGTTCTTGTGTATATGGCATACGGTCTTCAGGGGCCCGGGGATCATATGAGTCGACATCTGGTGACACATTGTTGACGACAGGAGTTGTGCCATATCTTGCCTTGAGGACAGTCAGATTCTTGACAGGGACGGCCGCATCATGTAAACGAGGTCGCTTCATCCACTGATTGGCTCCATCGGTGCAAGATGTTGGCTCAACATTCTCTATACCATATAATGCTGCTCCAATGTGACGGCATGCTCCATCTGATCTATAAATATACATCATGATTTGTTTGCTAAATAATAAAATATATTGAAACATTCAAGTCATTTTTATTCAAATTTTATCCTATCATACCTGATAATAATTATTTTATTTCAACCATTTTTATATAAACTCTGTCAAAAGAAACGCAACCCCTGTCCTCAGATATGAAAATTCGTTTGAATGAAGTTATTGCTTCAAACTAAATTTTATTCAGATGTATTGAAATTATACACGTAATTAATGAAGATTACCATCAAACAACTGCATTTGTACGCATAAGTGTATTTTATTGCTTATTCCGTCACAACGCATGAAATGACCCTCATGGTGACTTCGCACAAAAAACACATGCAAATCATGAAAATGGCAGTTAATGTAGGGGTGTATAAAGCCCATGTGCTTTCGTATTATATTCATTCATTTGTCGCCGAAAGCTGTGTTAAAAATGCCACGATTGAGTGCTGCCGACCGAAATATCGCCATTGGTCGTGTTCAAGCCGGAGAAAGTTTTGGAACTGTTGCACGGCACCTAAATGTTCACAAAACAACGATATCCCGACTTTGGAGCCGCTACAACAACTTCAATTTGACCAACGATCGCCCGAGAAGTGGAAGGCCAAGAATCACGACCCCCTTCAAGATCGGTACATCCGGGTCCATCACCTGCGTAATCGGCATGCCCTACCAACCGTGACTGCCACACAAATACCAGGTTTGAGGAGAGTGTCAGCTCAAACGATTAGGAACCGTCTGAAGAAGCGGGTTTACGTGCCTGTAGACCAGTTGTTGGACCTGTACTACGCCCCTACATCTCCGCCGACGACTCAGGTGGTGCAACAACGTAAGGATATGGACTTTACAAAACTGGAGGCGCATCTGGTTTTCTGATGAATCCGTTTTCTTTTGCAACGTCACGACGGAAGAAAACGTGTGTATAGGGAGACGTCATGAACGTTTTGCGCCCATCTGCGTCCGACAGGGGGACAGATTTGGCGGGAAAGCGTTATGGTTTGGGGATCCATCTCATACAACCAGAAATCAGACTTGGTGATCGTTGAAGGGAACCTGACAGCCCAACGTTACATCAACCACGTATTACAGCCTCACCTTCTCCCGATTATTGACCAACAGACACAGATTTTTCAACCAGACAACGCCCGGCCTCATACTGCACGTGCAACAATGAACTTTCTGCAGAATTCCAACGTCAATGTCTTGCCATAGCCCTCTAAATCACCAGACCTCAACCCTATTGAACACCTGTGGGATACTCTGGGTCGACGCGTACGTCAACGTCAGCCGCCGCCACAGACGCTGCAACAGCTCGGCGTTGCACTGCAGGAGAGTGGAGAGCCATTCCCCAGGAAAGAATCCGGCGTCTTATCCGTTCTTGTCCAAGGAGATGCCGTGCAGTGATTGCAGCTCGTGGTGCTCATACGAGATACTGAGAAAGACGCCCCCCTGGTGACAAACTGGTGTCTGTGAGATGACTTTTGAAATGACAATTTTAAACATGCCCATCTTGGTTATTATTCTGCCAAATTTCAGACTTCTGTCTTAAATAATAAAAATGCTGTGTCGTCTTAAAACTTCAGATCAAAATCTCTAAAATACAGGGGTTGCGTTTCTTTTTTGACAGAGTTTATAATGTTTACAAAAGGCAAAATAGTCATGAGGGTTGCGTTTCAATTTTGTTTTTTTGACAGAGTTTAATTCGTACTGACGGGTTTTTTTGCTGCTGAGTATATAAGTATAGTTAACAAACTTTTCAAAGACAGTCACCTTATGAACGCACCACCATTTCTTTTCATCATCATCCCTAAACACAACGCATGGACAACGCAGAAGCCCCCATACACGTGCATAGGTAGTCTTTCTTGATTTTGACGGTTTTCCAGACGGTCCATAAAACACTGACGACCATTAGTTTTGACTATCGCCTTGCATCACACAGTTGTTAGTATTTGGTTTTAGCCGTTTTACGTCTGAAAATGAAAAATTGTACTCATGCAATTTGTCAAACTCAAATCATCTTTCAAGAGCGATAACTGTACAAACAACTCTGGTCATAAGGAAGTTCAAGTGGTGATGCACTCTCATTGATTATCATATCAACATTGATTGACTCCGATATATCTCAATTTGTCTCAATCGTAAATTATACATGAAGTTTCCCTACTTTTTAAGAGTACAGTATATGAAAACCTCAAATGGTCAACATCACTCACAGCATCAAGATAAAAAGATAACAAACTAATCCCGGTATACTGACACTGAAATACCCATGAAAGACAGCGACATAAGAGGTTAACCATTGTGAATTCTGAATGTAATTGGACATGTATCAGTTACCAGCTCGCTGCAGTTATCATAGTTTGTTATCAGCCAGAGTTGTGACCCACTATACCTAACACTAATACCTAAACACGATTTCAGTTGAATTGGCAATAAAAGGCCCTGCGTTTGAAGGTCTCGAACCATTGTCGAACACACGGTCAACAATATCCTACAATGAGCCCCTATCTCACACGGACCTTCCTTCTGTTGATGGTCATGGAAAGCAGCTTGGCGATTGACTTCACGAACTTAAAACTGAGTGCGCCAACAGCTGAGGATCGTGCGGAGCAGGACGCCAAAGGCAAGAATTGTTGGCGAAATATGAAGACGCGATAGCCAACATTACCGTAGACCTTGAGGAGTTAGAGGCTTTGAAAGATACTGGATTTCCAACTGTGACAACTCCACAGGTAACTGACAGCCCGCCCGGTTCCGCATCAACTCAAGAAGAAGAACAAATATTCACAGGGAAACCAGAAGGTTAGCATATAGCTGGGATAAAATTCAGAATATCCAACATTTGTGTAGGTAATTGATATGAATTTATCTCCCGCTGTTGGTTTCTTGGTTTCAAACTTCACTTCATAAACGACAATTCAGAATATTCATGTACTTCTATTTATTCCTGTAGATTACAGCCGAGTTCATAGTCTTAGATTCTATTAGATTGACTGGAAAACAACAACACATAAAGGTAACAGTAATGGCAGCAGTCTGGCAGTGGCAGCGCTGTAGGTGTTTTATTACACTTACACAGAGTTAACCAGTGTAGCCTTAACCTTCACCGGTAACGTTCACGCTGGTGCATGGACAGCACCTATTTGCCCTTGAACGAAGATATATATCAAGTGCAATGTCCTGAAATATTTGTTTCGTGATTCAGTGATAACTACCATTGCTTATATTGCAATAATGAATCATGGATGACCGTTCGAAACGAGGCGGTGGCATTAGCTGATCGTTCAAACAGGTCATGTTTTGTCGTTTTGTTGACGTTCAGCAATCGGTTATGAATGTCACACTTTAAAACCTGGAGTGTATTTTCATTTTATACGTATATATATATAATAATATATATAATTCATCACAGCGAATAGCTGATGCGATACACGAAATGTGAAGGTCTTGTATGCGACGTGTGAATGTCGTCGGCCCGATCATATTGGAATTTTTAACACAAACAGGTAGCAGGTATACAACTTAGAGAAGTGAAAAACAATGTTCAAATAATTGTAAAATACACAGTCGCTGGCAAATAATGTGAAATCATCCCTGCGTATCATAATGCAATTGTCAAATATGATTTAAAAATATCATAATGACAAGCTGTTTTGTTATCTATTTTTTAATAATATCAGTTTCTCATTTAATTTATAATGGGCATTTTGAAAAGAATTGGACTTGTTAAATGATTTGTAAATAGATAAATGGTATTTTAAGATGGTAGTATAAATAAGCAACTGTGATTGTTAGTGGCTGTATCCTCTAAGGTGTTTAAAGTTTCGTGAAATTATTGTCCTCCTGAGAGGGTACGTAAGTCCCAAAGCTTTCAAAGTCAATTTAAACTTACCAGGATTTTTAACGTAGTATTCTTGTTATTTTAATTTTGGCTAACATTCCTTATAATCGCCAGCAGCTGAAGGGATGGTGTAAATCCAGCTAGGGTCCATGCAGGTAGCAAAGGTACTGTATGTCCCCATGGTCCCTGGTATGGTGATCTACCCTCAGTTGTTTGGGATCTATAGCCTATTTTTATATTGTGTTGTCCTCTATGGTAAATATGTTTTAGATTTAATTACTAGTTTTACATTTATATCTGTGATGTTCTAGTTGTTTTACGGTCCTTCGTTGACAGGATTTTATAATCTATCTTTACTTATTGTTAATCTAAAACTTGTTTTAGTCACGATATGGATGAAATATTGCCAAAGTGACCTTAAACTTTAATTCACTCACTCACTCACGTTTTTTGTTATCTGTAGGGGTTTATGATGCATGATGTATAAAATGATTGTGTTGGTGAATAGTTGATTTCTACAAATTTCTACAATGGCTGCATTTTATTATGATAAATTACTGGCAAACAAGGATAAGTTGGACCGGCGCATAGAACCCGTTCACGAGAGGTAGGCGGTGCACAGCGATGAGCAAACCCATTTGGTTTGTGAAAGGTAGAGCAGATGTAAGCTAGTGCACGTGCAGTACATGACGATCAAATAGATTCTGCGCGTAACTGCACACCCAGCGCCTTGCTTCACCCATCGCACTACACTTGATTGCGGACAACCTGGGGCCCCTTCGCTAACAATGGCAATACTATGTTTTCAAGATGTTTTTACCAGTAATTGGGTCAGATTTTTTTTTTTTTTAAAAGTCATCCCAGAAGGGTATTAATGGCAGGCCCAAAGCTATAGCTGTAGCCAGAAACGGCAAAATATTATTTATCTACTGCGCATGCGCAAGATGAAATTATTTTGAGTGCCTCCATATGCTAAAATGTTCACTTTACATTGGTCTATGAATGTGCAAACTTTCATGCTTTTATCATTAAATGCACATTCTATCTGATTATCCGCTCCACTACAAGCGCCAGTGGGCGAAACTCATACATGCTGATAGGGTCAGGTGTCAGGTCGGTGCTCAAGTTATCCTTGTTTGCCAGTAAGTACATACACTCT